TGACTAATAGTGCAGGTTTAACTACTCCAGTAGGGCAAGAATTGGATCTCTTTGAGGTATTTGTCTATGTCCTCTTGTGACATTAATTAACAATATTGCCAGCAAGAATGTTTCAAAGGTGTCTTGAAAATAGTCACCAATGCTGCTTCTTTATATTCTAGACAGATAAGTTTTGAAAATTTATAAATATTCAGAAAAATAAAGTACAGAAAAACTTCTGGATACTTCTCTGAAGATACAAAAATGAAAGGATTTGCTATACAAAACCCACTGCAGTTGCCACCACAGCCCAAGGATATCCCTGCTATCAAGACATGAAAAAAGGGCACATGAACCTGACTTGCCCATGACGTGTTTCCCCAAAAATAAGACTGGGTCTTACATTAAGTTTTGCTCCAAAAGATGCATTTGCTCCAAAAGATGCAAAGAGCTAGTCAGGAGGGTCTTCCGGGCCATCTAGTCTGACCCCTGGCTCCAGTCGGCTCCACTCATGACATGCCTTCCATGTGCATGTCACATGCCTACCATAATAACATGGAGCTATGTAAGTTGCCTTGGGTCCCTCACAAGAGGCAAAAAGGTGGGATACAAATGCAAGATGATAATAATAATTTACCAGAAGAAGGGGGGATTTTAGAATATTTCTTTGCATTACTTAGAAGAAAACAGGGAAAAGTCAATGGCCCTCCTCTCCTTCCCTTGTTGATAAAAACCTGTGGTTGCTTAACTCACTTCTTTGCTGATGCTTTGCCACAGGAGCTGAGACCCTTTATTGCCAACTTGATCCCTCACAAGCCTGGTACAGCTCTAACTCGCTTGCCCCAACTTCAGCTGCAGCCAATCCGATTAGAGGGCCTCACTTAAAAAGCAAGGCAGGTGGCGTTTGACTACTGGTCTACACTAGCTTCCAGTGAGTGGCAATTTAGGGCAGTTGAGTTATAGCCAGCCTGAAAGTAGACAGTGCTCCTCTGTATATGCGATTCTTGGCTGATAATATTGGACAAACCAATGCGTTAGCTATGCAAACTGTGTAACTCAGCATTTTGAAAACAGGATAAATTGCTATGCTCATGGTGCATCCAGTTTATAAAAGTATAGATAACTAAATTAAAAATGTGAAACTTTTCAACACAAAATCCCAGGTGGTCACTGAAGCTCTTCTCTGCTGAAATGTTTCACATTTTAAAAATCTATTTCTGATTGTTAAGCATGTATACACTGGATGTGCTATTGCTGGTTACTTGTTTTGTGATTACATAGGGCCAGGCGAAGGAGGAATAGCTGAACCCAGGATGTGACAAAAGGTCTCATAACAGGAGGGCTGCCACACACAATGTCTGCATGTACATATATCATGTCTACTCAGAAGCAGTGTGCCTTGGAATGCCAGTTGCTGGGAAATATGCATGGGCAGAGGCGCTTACAGGTTTTCCATAGGCAACTCGATGGCCACTGTGGGGACAAATGCTGGACTAGATAGGTCTGTAGCGTAGCTTTTTGGATGCGAAAGGTCCTGACATCCAGTGAAGCCCCTTCTGGGCAGATATGGCTTTGCTACAGTTATCCTAGTTTGATAACATCCAGATTTAATTAATATAAGATTGCCTTTCAAGACTTCAGTTGTTTCAGATGTTTTCTGTAGCCTGGTTTGTAACTGAGATATACCTCTCTATTTTTTGGTTTTAAACCATCTCCATGAATTTCTAGTTTGTTTCCGTACAATCCAAACTGATGACACTGATCAGTGAAACCTGAAACAGTTTGGGACTGACAGACTACCTTCAAAGATCTGCTTCTACTCTATTTCAATGTTCCTGCCTTCAAAAGCGGATGACAACTGGGAAGAAGTCCTTCTCTGTGGTGGCACCCTCCAGGAACATGTTTGTATTGTGTGAACCACCACTGTCATTTAGATGACAAGTTGAAACCATTTATGCACCCAGGCACTGGCCTCTCCTGGCTCAACCATTTAATGGTTCAGTAGGTTTGCTGTTCTTCACTTTTATTTGCTATTGGGGGTGCTTCCAGATGGAGGATTCCTTGTACTAGCTTTAGCTTTTTCTGCTAGGCAGATTTTCACAAGAAGGAAAAAGAAATAGAGGAAAACTGCAAGTGTATCTGGACTTTTTAAAAATCTGCCAGTGAGGCATGGAGCCATAAAAGCCTTGTCTAGAAGCACCCGTATTTCTATTTGTTGTACTTTCTGCTGTATTTTGGTGCTGAAGGAAAGCAATCCTGTACTGTACTTTGCTTATAGAACACGTCCCCCCGTTGCTTGTCTCTTTGGGCACCCGAGTAGAGAGGAGTGAGCCCACCATGCTGCCTAAAGGGGAAGTTCAAGCATGTAGTCCTGTCTGCTCATCCGTCTCTTCTCTCCTTCTTGGCAGTGCAGCACCAAGAGTTGGCCATAGAAGGAATAAATTCTCATCCCTCCAGTTGCTCACCTGCACACTTCCCCTTGAGTGGCTTGGCAGTGAAAATTCAGTCTAACTAACCTAATCTTCCATCTCACCCAATGAGAGAGACCCTGTTTCTGCCGAGTGGGAGAAAGTCTGTGTGAGACATACCTGGTGCTCCTCCCATTGTACCTGGCATGCTTTGGGGGATACACAGGGAAGAAGGCAAACAAGTCTAGCAACAGTAATTCATGCTCTGGTAACCTCTCATCTGGATAACTGCTATGCACTCTATGTCAGGATGCCTTTGAAAATGGTCCAGAAACATCAATTAATTCAAAATAGGGCAGTGCAGGTGTTAACAGGGAGCTTATCAGGCCGGTCCATTCTCAGTGCCACTGGCTCTCTGCTGAAGTCCAGGCCTGACTCAAAGTGCTAGTATTGACATTAAAAGCCTCAAATGGCTTGGGGCCAGGTAATCTGAAGGAATGCCTCTTCCCATATGTACCTATCCGAGCCTTAATATTATTTTTTGGAGTCCTTCTTAGGGAGCCCCCCCACCCCCAATGGAAGTAAGGAAGGTGGTGACCAGAAGGGCCTTTTTGGTTGTGGCACCCGATTTATGGAATGAGCCTCCCAAAGAGGTATGCCTGATGCCCACTCTTTCTTCTTTTCATTGCCAGGTGAAAACCTTTCTTAATCTTTCATGTCTTAATATTGTATTTTATTATATATTTCATGTGCTTATGTGCTAATTCGACTATGGTTGCCATGGGTTTGTTTTGTGCTTGTTTTATTGGTTTTATTGTGCAATTGTTTTATTCCTACATGCCATTCTTGTCTTGTCTATATGTACTTTGACTTCATTAACTGCCTAGAGAGCCATTTGACTGTTGGGTGGTATACAAATGAAAAAAGAAAGAAAGAAAGAAAGAAAGAAAGAAAGAAAGAAAGAAAGAAAGAAAAGGCAGCAACCGGCTCTACTTCCTCTCCTGCTCACCCTCTCTGGGCACTGGAGCTCAGTGGATGGAGCCTGCGGTGCTGCGTGGAGCGTGTCTGTATGCTTGAGCAATCATCCGCCATCGCCACCCGCCCTTCCTCCCAATCCAGGTGGTGCAACATCTGCTGTACTGCCCAGAGTTCGTCTTCCAGCAAGCAAGTGATATGATGAAAATGTTGCTCCATGACCAATCCTATATATTGTTATTACATTTGCATCCTCACTTGCTTCCTCTTCCAAGGAACCCAAGGTTCTTCCTCTCCATGTTATCCTCACGACAGCAACCATGGGAGGTGGGTTAGGCTGAGAGTGGCCCATAGACACCCTGTGAGCTGCGTGGCTGAGAAGTGTCTCAAACCAGCATCTCTCAGACCAGCGCTTCCAGCCACCACACCACACCAGCTCTCCTGTGCCACTTGTTGCTTTGCACACAGAGAGGCAGAGGGCACAGGCGGCAGCTGCTGGTCCTTCTCTGGGCCCAGTCCACCATACAACAGCAAATCCACCCTGTTCTGTGTGAGCAAAGGAGTAGAAAGTGGCCACGACATAGAGGAGAAGCAGCAAGCCAGCACCACCATCCCCTGCTAACTTTTCTTGGCTGGCCCCCACTGTTGGAGGATCAGGCAAGATCCACCCCTGCTCCCACCCCGGCAAGTCACTCTAGAGAAATTACAGGTCAATGAGAAGGGATAAGGTAGGCCTCCTGTGTACAACCCTGCATGCAGCACTGCGTGAGGAAAATGCCTGCACACGAGCAAGGGGAAGCAGAGTTTACTGCTCCGCTTTTCTCTTGAGGCAGCTCCATTCCTCCTGTTGTGGTACCTGGGCAGGAGGCAAGAGACTGGAGTGGGAATAGCTGCCTCCTTGGCTTTCTTGCATGATGCTTCCCTCAGAGGCAGCGCTCAGAGGACATGCCATCGCAGGGGGGGTCATCCTGGCTGGGGATCACCGCTGCGCCTTCTTTTGCGGTGGCACCGAGCATCCTTTTGGAAATACCGGTTGAACGACGCATTTAGCTGACACCTTGGTGGCAGCTGCTTAGGCGGAGGCACCTGTGGGACCCTCTCGATGCCAGCCCGTTTTGTGGGCCCTAATTCCGCAAGGCGCAGATGAGGCTGCAGGGATCCCCGCTCATGGACGTCAGTGCCGCACGGGAACCGGCGGACCCCGGCGCCACTCACGGCACTGCGCCTGCGCATCCCGGGCCGCCTGGAAGAGCGAAGTGAGATGTCACCGGGAAAGGCGGGGGGGAGGGAGAGAGGTCACGTGACTCATGCCGAGCTCCGCGCCGCGGTCCATCCCAAGGTGCCGCAGCCTCGGCGCCTGTTCTTCCTCCTGCCCGCCCTCCCGCCTTGCCTTTCCCTCCCGGCCCGTGGGCACGGGAGTCGTCTGTATTGAGGCGGAGCCTGGAGATAGATACCCAGAGACAGAGATTTAAATTTCATTCTCAGCTCGAGTGGGGCAGCAGCAGCAGCAGCAGCAGCCCCGGCGTCGAGCCTCAGCCTCGCGCATTCCCTGCCCGTCCTGCCGGCTTTTCTGCTGCTGCTGCTGCTCGCTCCGCTGCGGCCGGCCAGCCAGCCCGCCCGCCAGCCAGCCAGCCAGCCATGGGTCACTCCGCCGCCGGAGAGCCGGGCCTCATTGCCAACGTGGTGAACGACACCTTGGAGTTTTACCGCTGGACCTGGAGCATCCGAGGTAACCAAGCGCCGCGCCGCGCCGCCGAGGCAAGCTTTTGTTAAGCTCGCCGCCGCCCCCTGCCCGTCCACTGCTCCCGCAGTCAGCCTGCCCTCTTTCTTTCGCTGTGTCCCGTGCATCTCGCCGGCGCGCCTGGCCGTCAGCACCTGCCGGCCGGCTCTCCTGCCAGGCTTGCGCGTCCCGCTGGTGCGGCTGTCCCGGCGCCGGCGCCGGCGCCGCCTCCCTCCATCTTCTTCCCAGCCATTCCTTAGAGGGGCAGCTGCCTCCCTGCCCCCTTCCTCTCCTCTCCCCTCCGTCTCCTATTCCTTGCCTGCTGTCACTGTCACACAGCGGTCAAAATGGCTCCGTGGCTCTTTTCTTGTCTAAACCCATCTGCGAAGCAAGGTTGCAGAGCCGAACGGATTTGGAACGTGCCGTTATGTCTTTAGCCTGGGCCTCCGAAAGTGGATATTCATCATCATTATCCTCCTCCTCTCCTTTAGGCCAGAAGGAATGGAAGTATAAATGCAGCAGTAGAGGCAGTGCCATTTAAGTTCTCTGCCTGGGCTTCTGTTCCATCACTTCTTAATATTTTCCTGACTTTTTCAAGTATTGACCACTTACACAGCATTTAGAATCATCCAGAATGGGAAGGAAAATCGAAAATCTTGATATTATAGACTGTGCTAAACTATGGCCACGGTAAGCCTTTATCTGTGTTGATTACCGCATAGCTGCTATTTCTAAGCATTCACCTTTTAACTGGTGGAATGCCAGTACAGAAGGTCATATGGCAGCTCCACACAACGTTAGCACAGATGTTTGCAAATGGAGGGACACTCATATTATAGGGAACCCGATAATATTTGAACGGGAGGCACATGTTTGCCATATGTCCATGCATACAGGACCCACAGACATAACATTTGGCTTTGGGAATATCTGGTGGTCATGCTGAAAACACCTCATTTTTCTGTTGTGTTTTAGCAACTCGGAGGCTAGGTGTTTACCATGACACAGTAGATCTCAATGCTGGCTCCGGGCAGATCCCAGTTTATGAAGATGGACTCCATCTTCAGAGTCAATTTTGTGGCTTACATTGCAAAATTAATTATTCGGCTTTGCAAGGCTTGGATGCACTTTATAATTAAGTGTGATGTAGTATAGGGGCTGGTTTTGACATTTTAGTTTAAAAGGCAAGGTTGCTTAGGGCCACTCTTTCATGTTTGAATTGCTTTCTCATTGCAAAATGGAAGCCAAAAGTTACACAGAAGCTGGAATCAGCTGGCAGAGCAATGTTGAATGTGGTCATTAATAAAACGGTTAAGAAGTGTCATTTAGGATTGGCACCAACAGAACAAGTTCATGGTTCCAGGCAGATTACAGGTGCAGGGAGATAATGCAGTCATGTAGAAAGCAATTCTATGCATGTTTACTCAGAAGAAAGTCCCACCTTGTTCAGTGGAATTCATAAATAAGGACGCTTAGGATTGCAGCCTTGAGAGTTGCCTTACCTATTAGTATAGAATACTGACTTCTGACAGGCACGCTTCCATGATAAATGCAAGATTTAGTATATACCCACAGAATGGAATCTGGGCACCAGGCAAATATGTAGAGAGAGCTTCATGTACCTTGCATGTATACTATTCTGGAGCCAGGATTGCATTTTATGTAGACTTAAAACAGAATCTGTGAGATAGTCTTTGCAGTTTGCTCTCCATGCAACTAGAAAGCTGGTTAACTGCTTATTTGAAACACCAAGATGATTTTGCAAGAGAAGATGGATTTCAGTGCTGTGAAGTTATGGAGTCCATGTGGCTTGGTCATAGATTCCAGGAGTTTATTACTATATGAGCTGTCTTGCTTCCTGTTCCTTCCCCTTTCTACCATTTGTCAGAAAGTAAATTGATCCTATGCTTTTACTTCAAAGAGCACACTTGCATGATTGCACTTTATGGGTTGTATCAGCAAATAGTCTAACTTAAGTCTCATTCATTTCAGCTGGTCTATTCTAAATAAGACAGGTGACACCCCATTACTTGATCCCAACTTATTAGTTCAACTTCTACATTTCCCCTTAACTTAAAAGATCTAGTAAAATAGCTTTGCCGTTTCCTCCTTTTTTGTAGCAGTTTAACAATATTAACATTTCATTTAACATTACCAAACTGTTACACTAGTACCACTAAAGATTACTTTTTAATAACAAAATAGGTTTTGTGATCTTTGTTGATAACTCCTTTGCCTTCTCAGTGTTACTCATCAATGTGCTGGAATGAGCGTTAGTAAAAAGATCACCACTGTAATATGGAGTAAGATGGAATCAAACAAGAATCTTATAAATGCACTTACAACATAAATTATTTTCCCGTTTCTATCTCTCTTAGAAATACTAGTTGTCATGTTGAGAAAAAAGTGCCTAGCTTCATTGTTTAATAGACTATTTAAATTTCATTCATAGTGGTCAGCAGTAGAGCATAACATGAGGTTCCATAATAAGGTATTTTAGTTAAAATATTAAAGCAATGATATTCAGTGTACTGGGTCTTTAGGATGATTGGCTGAACACTGGCTGAACACTGGCTGAATGCCAGTGCGGTGTAGCGGTTAAGAGTGCTGGATGAGGGCTCAGGAGATCCTGGTTCTAGTCCCCACTCAGCCATGGAGCTCCCTGAGTGACTCTGGGGCAGTCATGGAGTCTTAGCCTAACCTACTGCACAGGTTTGTTGTTTTGAGGATAAAATGGAGAGGAGGAGAACCTTGTAAGCTGCCTTGGGTTCTTCACAAGAGAAAAAGAGCAGAATATAAATGCAGTGTCGTCATCATCATCATCATCATCATCATCTAAGATTTTGGGGACAGCTGAGCACAAGTGAGATAGAATGCAATAGTTCATTTGCAGTGCTAAACACATAGATTTACAAATCCGTAAGTTGAATCCAGCAACACTCCTGTGGAAGGACTCCTTCTGTCAATGAGAAGCTACTTGGTCCCTGTTCTACTAGCTGAACAGGAAAGGAAGTGATCCTCCCTGACTCCCTGTCCCTTGTGGTTCTCTGTGTCCCCCACCCCAAAATCTGCTCCAGAGATCTGGGAGCCCCTCTCGGTCAGGCGTACAGTGGAAAAGGAAATAGCGTCGGTGGAAACATTCCTAAGTGAACTTGACTCCGGGAAGTTCTTGTCAGCACAATAAAACTGTCATTCCAATCCAGAGAGTGCCAAACAACTCTCTTTAGGCTTTGACTCCTTTCATGTTTGTGTTACAGGTGTGTGTATTATTTTATATTCAAATTAATATCTATATATCACTACAATTAACCTACATGGGATTGGGGCCAGTATTATTTGTGTTCTTGCCAGTGTTATCAGTCACTTATTCCAAACCTGCAGTGGTGGGGAGGGAACAGCAGAAGACTGAGCAGCTTTCTTAAGCCTTCCCAGAGAGTTCCTGGCTAAAGAAAATGTGGAGCCAAGGACTTCCACTGTAGCTCATGCTCTTAACCACTATCCTGTGATCACTGTTGTTTTCCTTCACCTAAGCTTTATTTTATAAAAAAAGAAAGAAAAGAAAAGAAAACATGGGGCAATTTTCTCCCATCTCTCTCATGGAATTCAAATATAGTCCTGGCACTGATATCTGCAGTTCCTATTGTACTGAAATGGTTTTGAAAGTGAGTACAGAATGAGTGCTTTTATGGAGTACAGAAGACTTCCATATCTTCTTCCTCTGTTCTTCCATATTTCATTGGTCCTCTGCTTTCGCACACCTGTTGTAGTGCTCTTTGAATCCCAACCCTCCTTTATTTTTAAAATATCAAAAAGGAAACTAAATCCTGTACAATTCTGGTGAAATTTAATGATTTAGCTTTCTGTTCCCAGGCATGTGGTTTTGTCAAACCTGATGGTAGAAATCCCTGATAATGCCAGTGATGCTACTCAGCAGATGACTCAGAAGATCTTTCGCACTGCAACATAATTTCTCAATCCACATCATCCTGAAATTATACCACACTGATATGGCGTTGCCCAGCAATCATATTATACAGGCCTTGCAATGTGTTAATATTGCTTAACGAATTAAGCATTTCACCATATTGAAAACATCACTGTACAGCGACATTGCACAACGACTTAAGAAACTTTATTCTCATCTAGACACCTACACAGTTTCCCTTGATTGTTCCCAGCATTCCCATATGTCTAAAATCAATCTCAATTTCTTCTGTCGTTTCACCCCATCTCTAAGCAGGTGCCTCAGGGCCAACTCACCCACCTGCATTCTGATAGCGACGTGATCCTCTCTAGGCCGTTACTTTCTGACAGGGATTAGCAGAGAATCCCATACGTCCTGCTCCTCCCCATAATTCCACCCTGTTCTCCATGTCCAGAATGCCTTACAGTTTATCCTGACAAGTGCTTACCGTGGCCAGTTAGTGGGATGTGACATAAATCCCTTCAGGGCAACGAATAGCACATGAGTCTCCATTGCAAAGTGACCATTCAAAGGCTACTTCAAAAGCTAATAACTTGGTCATTAGCTACTTCAGAAAGAGGATTTCTTCCTTTGGAATCTAGATCAGGCATCCTCAGCCATGCACTTGCATATCTGTTCAGTATGATTCCCATCATCCTCTGATAACATGCTGGCTGGGATGATGGGAGGTGTAATTCCACATATCTGAGGGTGCCAGGTTGAGGAAGCCTGATCAGTTCTATCCAAATTTGTAGGAGGTTCTATTCTAACATCTCAACTTCCATGTTCATCCAAATATTGAACTTTTATTTTTCTGTAATTTGAGAACTTTCAAGGTAGAGCAAATATTTGAAAAACAGATAATCTTAGTGCTTTTATTTTGATTTTATTAAGAATTTACTGATTAAAAATTTCAGGGCTGGGACTCAGTGAATATGAGGTTAATAAAAATGTGAATGATTGTAATGGAATGTAAGGTTAACATTAATAAATAAGTACACAATGATAATTAAAATTACAAAGTATCTTATGATTTAGTTCTGTA